TGTTCTGAGTAAATCCGGAGGACCTCAAATGTACGTCCTGAGGAGTTTCAGGGTAACATTCAAAAGTTTAAAGCCTAGAAAGTCTCCAGAGAGCAAGTCCGCAGCTCTTCCTTGGGTAAAGTCCGGAAAGTGTTAAGACCAAGCTCACAGAGTGTTTAGGTCAACATATACTGTGAACACGGCTTTCTAGGACAGATATTGTTTTACCATATTTGACTTTCTTATGATCTTTTGAGTTAAAGTCTAGAATATTTAGACTATACTTTTTCCCCAAAACTTTGCGTTTTTTTTTTGTGCCCCTCTCTTTATGAGGTTGTACCGCCCTTCTCAAGTAACCAACAAGCCCGTTAATTGCATTTATGCAATACAAGGCTACACCCAAGTAGCTTGGTCGCCAAGTAGCTATAATTTGCCTACTGAGTAGAAGGTTTTGGGTTCAATCCCAGGTTTCTTCTCATTGTAGAACTATAAATATCGCGCTATTTCCTTTTTGGTAGATTTTTTAATTTTTTTTGAAGATGCCTAGACAAATACTGATCGTAGAACTCAGAAATGTTTCTCAACCGGAATCGAGAACATAACTTGTTGTACCATAACATGTCCGTTGACTTCTTATAGAGGCGTCATTTAATATGAATAGGTTTATGCCGGTTTTGAACAATGGTGATCATTTTTGCTTACTAAGCAGCTATTGTGGGTTCTATACCAGGGCTCTTTACATTTCTGCGTTGATAGGGCCGAATCGATATGTTGTTTTCTCTCTAAATACAACCACATGATTTATCAAATCGTTTACCACGATGAATCCTATACCTTGTCCAATCTGCTTCCAATAATGCGAGACAAGTTCGATCCCTCTTCCTAATTGACTTTCATTCGGACGTGGCTGACGCCAGTATTGCTCAACAAACATGAGATCTTGGGCCTCCCTTAGCTCAATCGGTAAAGGCGCAGCTGGAGGAGGCTGGGTTCGATTCGCGGCCGTTCTAGAATTTTTTCGGGATGAAATTTTTTTCGATATCTCGGGCATAGAGTATGATTGTACAAACCACACAATAATACTACTGCATAAATGCTAATGGCTGAGAAAGGCCTCAATTAACACCTGTGGAAGTGCTCAAAGAACACAAAGTTAAGAGCTGGTGTAAAATTCCAGCAGGGACGTAGTAATGCCAAAAAAACCTACAACCCGAGTAGCACACTTTTATCACAATAAGTTACAGCAACTTGTTTATGACTGAAATAAGTCGTATATAAGTTTCTACAATTGATTTGTGACAAGCGTGCTACTAGGGAAGGGACAGCCCCATGGAGTTATACGCAATGGTGACGTAGGACTACGTGGTCTTATATAGTAAATCTAATTTGTAAACTGCAGCAGGAGCTTGTGTTTTGTGTAGGAATAGGAATTCGAGCGAGGTTCTCTCTGTTTATACTCTTTACACACTTAAATTTTTTCGCCGAGATTCCAACAGCCGAACAGTTCTGTAAAAAAATTGCCGAGACTCAGCTAACAAATAACATTTTGCTGAGATATCAGCTAACAAACAGATATTTTGCAGAGATATCAGCAAAAGTAAATGCCGAGGTAATCGTCTTTTGGATATTTTACCGAGCTAGATTAAGTGTGTAGTATGACGCGCTTGACATAGATGGCCCACAGTAACTCACGAAGAGCTACTGATTCCGAATAATAGCGGTGCGGCTTCTTATTCCTTCCTGATGTGAGCTGCAGCTCGCTGCTTGCAGGCAGCCTTTCGTTTTGTACTGGAGAACAATGTTCAAAGCCACGCACCGAAAGCACTGCTGTTGCTGCTCATGCCGACGACCGGACACTACCACACACGGTGATTGGAACTGAATCCGATCAGCGGTTGAGGCCAGTCTTGATAGCTTGTTGCTTATGGGGAGTCTTTCGTTGTGTACTGGATGGAATTCAACTTTGAAATCTGTGTTAGGGAAATCGCTTTTCGCAGGCAATCGGTGACAATTTTAATTATCATAGCAACAGTTGCACATTCGTGCAATTTTCAATAGTGACATTTTGAAAAATGATAAAGTCTTAAGTTAAACAGATGCGTAGAAATATTTCTGATCGATTGGTGATAAAATTATTGAATTTGGTCCAGGGGCAGCTGAATTATTAACGTTCAAAATCTTTCATAATTTTGTTACATGTTCCATTTTTGGTTCTCACAAAGTGTACCCCCATGTAGAAATCACAGACGTAGTCCTACATCAAAAAGAAGACGCGATCAACAGAAGTTGCACAATTATCATAAAGGCTAGTCTCAAATGCCATCTATTGGTTCTCTGTACAAATACAGCTGATCTTTCCAATAATTAAGTAGCTACCAAGGGCGTTTAATAGATTTTCAAGAATTGAGATTCTTTATTGATGACAAAGATTATGTTATTTTAATATTTTCTGAGTCAGTACAACTTTTCAAAGATCAGGAACGCTATTGAGTTGAGTAGGTCATTATCGTAGAACAAGCTGCGTATTTGGTTCGTGCTCCAAACTGCAACTTTTTAAAGCTTGAGTCATTTAATATCTGGACGCACTGTTTATTTTACTGTAGTGATCCTAGTGGTCGGATCTGGAATGTTTTGACAGCAGTTTGTTTTGAATTGTTTCCTCTTTCAGTGCTGAAAAGTTCGTCACGATTCATTTTGTTTAAAAAATGTTATAGTTGATGGAAGCCGCGAACCGAAAATTAATTTTTGACACCCACTTGGAAAATCCGACGTGGTTAGGTTAAAAAAATAGCGAAGTCGTTGAAATTGGCTAAATCGACCGTGTGCAGTGGTCTCAAACGTTTCTGTAAGAAGCATACTATAGATCGGCAGGATCATAGGAAGCGTCGTAGTGGAACCAAGGATCGGAAGCTGCATTTGAAGGTGTTGAGAACGGTTAGGGCAAACCCAGGGCTGTCGAATTATGATATCGCCAAGAAATTCAATGCCAGCCAAAGCACCGTCAGCGAGGAGGATTCAGATCTTTTCGGGTCACTAAGCAACCAAATAGGACACTGAAACAGAATCTAGTGGCCAATAGACGCGCCCGGAAGTTGTACAATGAAGTTCTTTCAAAGTACGAAGCAGTGCTGCAAAACCTCGCCATAAATTAACATTCACTATAAAAAATTTCATGAATTTTCAAAGTATGTGATGTTCGGGAAAATATAAAAAACTTCAAAAACTCGGGAGAAAATTGGCAACCCCAATTTTCTACTTGTGCGGAATAATTCATAAGAGTCGGAGACCAAGGGGGGAGGTGGCTGTCAAATACGAACAATCGTCGCCTACCTCACATAACTGGTTCCAAACGTAAACAAGCCATAATAAACCTACAGCGTTTGTTTACGTTTGGAACCAGTTTCATACAAGATGATCAGTAGGCTGATTTGACAGCACATCCCCCCAGTCGGAGACTCTTCAGCTAATTTTGTACGAAAATTGAAAAAAATCCCCATTAGAATTTTTTTTTAAGGACTAGCGGTTCTCCGGATTAATCCAGAGAATATTCTGTGCTAGTACAGGGAAAATTCAGAAGCCTTAATGACTAGTCCAGAGGTTCGCCAGCTTTAATTTGGACGATTTACAGAGGTTCTTTACAGGCAAAACAAATTTCTGTTACATCGAATGTAAGGTTGGATTTATTACATCATCTGCATATGATTCATACAACAAATGTAATTGCATAAAAGGCCCATGCGAGTTTTTAGCAAAAATTAGTTATCTTCTGGAATCGATTTTGAACTACCTGCATGTCAATATGTGCACATAAAGTGAACTGTTTTGTTATGAAAATATCGTAATAATATCAAACCTTAGTTGTCTCAGTCATGAGATGAAAAAAAAACTGCGTTTTTCTCTGTTGTTCCACATGGGACTGCTATGCGTTTATGGGCAGTGCAGCGTACAAGCAAGTTTTTTCCAGAATGCACATTTTTGTGTAAAAACTTCATGAGATGATTTTCTAGACGCAATGCATTTGGGAAACAAACTTTGTTCGAAAAGTAATCTAATATAAAAATTACAAATTTCGCGAATCATTGCAAATCTGTAATAGAATCTTATATTTCCCGATTGGGTGTAGACCCATTATCAAGTATTGAGTATTGAGTTAACTTTATTTCGCTTGAGTAAAAAAGGGTTGATAATTGGTCGGTCTATGCGATCCTTCTTTGTATCAATCCTTTTTTGTCAAGTCTTAAATTTTAACTTGATTTGATAAATCACATGTGTGAATCAGTTTCAGTTCAAAGCAACGCTTCAAAATGTTTTTCTTTTCCAAAACAACCCTCCTCCGCGTTTTCCCCCCTTGTACCGTGTTCGCTAACCACCCATTCACAGACGCAAGTCCGAAACACGTAGTAGCTCATTGATTTTTTCGTATGTTTTTTTTTTCCTTCGTCTCTCACACTCGTCTATTATTGCTTCATCTAGCCCGTTTGCTTGCTTGCCTGCCGTGAGCATATGACGCAATGCCAAATATGCATGGGGTCACCGTGCCAGCTGTAGGATTATTGAAAAAAAAATATCCCTTCAATAACACAGTCAAAGTACAGCATCCTCGATTGCGTGTAAATATCGTTATCCCACGCTCTTGACAGCTGACGTGCCTCCGAACTGTCAAATGGGAAATGAAAAGACATCCAACATAATGGGATTCATGACACTTCTTATCATTCAATCTCGAGCTAGCTTTAGTAATCAAGAAGTGTTTTTTTTCGTATCCAATTAGCATACTCCACCAATCCCCCGGTCACTAACCGAACCCCAAAACCCATCCTTCCAATCGTCCTTCAAAACCAGCCACCAAGGTCAGTGACGTCTTGTCGCGGGGGAAGGTCTCTCCTATGATTCTTTTCTTTTTTCTTTGCTTCACACACTACTAATGTTACCTAACCTTTACACAGCAAGTTGATTCGCTCTTAGAACACCATCGATAGCTTAATCCATTTTCACTTTTCGAGTGCCAGTATCGTACTTACTTCCTTGCTGACTCTATCCACGTGTAGATCCATGAATGGCTTGACCAAATCCATCCTACTGCACTCGTTGTTGATCGGAACGCTGTTAGTTTAATCACTCAATCAATTCGCACGCACTTTTCACCAATTGTACTCGATATAAACAATCAATCACTTGACCGTTCTGAACACCAAACTAAAGCTGCCTTCTGTAAGGTTCTGTTAAGCACTAAAACAAAACCTCGTTTGTGTGTTTTTTTTAGCGAAATGCCTTGATTTCCTGACGAATATACACCACTTGCACGTCGGGTCGGGTTTTTGGTTTCACTGAGAGACCGTTTGCTGCGTTTACCTTTCTCGACTGAACACGATCGCGCTCGCGACTGATAAACCCGCTACTCTATACCCGCCACTTGCCTGGACAAAGAAAATATTTATATTTTGATTCCGCACTGGCTTAACCTTTTCTTCACGCCGTATTTTTTTATGGAGGATTGATAATATTCCCCGAAGCACACTATAATATGACACTTCACGCTCACACAAGACAAGAGGGATGGCTTCAGCAGCAAAGCACACAATTCAAAAAGGCAAAACCCGATTTTCCACGTTCCACTATCGCGCTAGGAAAACGAAACGAATATTATTTTAGATCGCCCTCGGTGCGAGTCGGGACTATGGATTCCTGAGGATCTTGGTTGACTAATTAACTATAGGTGGATCTCCAAGTAGTCTCGGTATCCGTCAACGGAATAGACTAGGAGTAACTACTTTCGGTGCCGGCGTGTCAAAAACAACTGTGAGAAAGTGAATTTAGATGGAAAATTTGTCCAGGAAGGTCACCTTGGTGCGAACTGTGGCAGCGAATGTGTTGGGTATGCCTGTGTTGGTTCATGTTCTGCCTGCCTGCCTGCCTATCTGCTTGCCATCAGACCGTTTCTCTCTTGGTGCTTACTTGCTTGAGCAATCCGCTGCCGAGTATATGTAGTGCACACATGTGTCGACTGGCTGCTATCGTGCTATAAATAAACACCCCACCAGAGAGGTTGTACTGTATTGGTTAGTCCATGCGCCTCTTTTACTGCCTCAGTGTGGCGGCATTCGTTAAGACGACGACAAACGCAGCCGTCGTCTTGGTGGTGAGTTGCGATTGTAAACCGTCCGCCAGTGGTTCTAGTTGACTGGATTATTGGAGGACTTTTTAATAAAATGCAGGAGACGCATGATAGGTTACCGACATTTTCCATTAGAATTTAAAAATAATGCACCATGCGCCTCCATGAACTCAATGGGGTTTCTCAGTGGATGAGTAAAATTTTCCTCTGTAGAAATCGGCTCTAATATCTGGAAAATCGATGAAAATTTTACTAAGTCATGAATATACGCGTAAACTGAGTAATATGGTCAAAAAAATTCCCGATATTTGAGCCGATTGCTGAGGAAAATTTCACTCATTCACCCAGTAGCCCCACTTTTTGCAATGTTGAGTCGGATTCAACTCAATGTTGAGTTACTCTCATCGGCCGTGTAGCTTTAGTCGATGCTGAATGCCGAAGGAATCGATTGGTGATTTAAAGTTGGTCCTCGTGGAGAAAGTAAGGACTATGGAAAAGATGATTTTTTTTATAAATTCCTTCACGATGAGGTATAGGAGAGAATTTTTAAAATTATTGTAATTTTCGAACTTCCCGCATAAACGCGAACCATAACTTGACCTTACCGAAAATGGTTAAAATTGTTTATAATCCCTGCTAAACTTTAATTGAAATGGTTATGGAACTTTACATGAACGTTTGTGTGATAAATATTTAACCTTATGTATTATAGTTTTTTGGAAGTGAACCTTACAAATAATGGGTTGTTAAGAACCATTACCATCCAAAATTCTTGTTTTCTCCATACATTTTCGGATAGAAAACTATATTAGAGCCTATTAACTTATGGTTTGAGAATTTTAATGGTTATGGTAGTTAGTAAGGTCCATTTGTTTTGGCCGCCCACGCAAGTTTGACGGTAACTTCCTCTACTCGACATTACTGTTTGTTTACGTTAGTTGCCTTCGGTTTGCGATCAAAGGACTGTCTTAATTTTGCTCACAAAAGCTGGTAGGCCATTTTCAATTGTTGGTCGATAACTTGGAGGCGAACCAGCCCAAGGCTGAAAGCCTCCCTAATAAACATAAATTAATTAATTAATTGTTGGTCGATAATTGTTTCTAGGTTCCAATACAACTTAATACTAATACAAACTATTACATCTACTAGAGAAATCACTCCCTTACCTGATTGTGCTGTTAGTTAGATTGTGCTATAGCAAAAATGGATGTAATGTTGGTCTATGGATCTAAGACTGGACCCATCGCGAAAAATCTGCTAGTTATCAATTTTAACTAGATGACCGCGTCATTGGGACGGTACTAATGGATATTTTTGGTCGCTATTGAACATTTAGTCGATTGCTGAATTTATGTATGGGCCCAAATTGGGAGCATTTAGGCCGACATTACATTTATTTCCCCTGTATATATTTTAATACTTCATAAAACTATTGGTGTGTCCTTTAAATATAGAAACCCGGAAATTCTGCTCAGAATTTCCTTAAAGTTCATCAAATAGTTTTCCTGGAATTCTTAGAAGCATTATCTAGGAATTATCCTGAGGATTTTCCTGCACTTAGAATTCACCTTAGAATATTATGCGAATGTTCCTCTGAAACTGAATTGAAATCTTCTTAAAATGCCTTAGAGAGAATCCCTTGGAATTTTCATGGAATTCTATTCGGATTTTTTTTGAAACTCCTCGTCGAACTATTCTAAGGATTCTATTCCCTTGGAATTCTTTTCGGAATTCCCTTGGCGACGATTCACACATGTCGTAGCATATTAGGGGAAGAAGAGAGGCTTGCATGTATAAGGTAGAGAAAAGAAGGCTAAAGTAGGCTAGGGGTAGAGGGTCTAAACCAAAAATAGGTTACGTCATTTATGAATATTCCTTTAGATCTTGAAGGTGAAGGTGGCGAACCGAGATTACAAACAAAACACCTCGGCAAAGCAGCGTTCCCGAAAGCTGTATACGAATCTACTCACAAAGTTCGACTGTGTTGTCATGGACGACGAAACTTATGTGAAGGCGGATTTCAAGCAGTTTCCGGGACAGGAGTTTTATACCGCATCTGGAAAAGGGAAGGTAGTTGAAATTTTCAAAACCATCAAACTATCGAAGTTTCCGAAAAAATATCTCGTCTATGCACGTGTGGTCTAAAAAGCGGCATTTTCATTATTAGGGAACCACCAATCAAGAGATCTACGTCCAGGAGTGCCTGGAAAAGCGGCTGCTACCATTCCTAAAGCAACATAAAAGACCTGTGCTGTTCTGGCCGGACTTGGCGAGCTGCCACTATGGGAAAAAGGCAATCGAGTGGTACGATGTGAACAACGTGGTTGTGGTACCCAAAGACCACAACCCTCCCAACAGCCAAGAACTCCGCCCTATCGAACGGTATTGGGCCTTGGTCAAACGGAATCTCAAAAAAACTAATAAATCCATGGAAAACGAGCAGCAGTTTAATTCTAACTGGTGTTCGGCGACGAATTATACCCCGTTCACATTACAGCCTATATCACGTAATATAGGCTGTCTTGCAATGAGCACTCATACATAGGATTTCCAGTGAAAACTAGATGTATGAGTGCTCATTGCAAGATAGCGTATATCACGTGATATACGCTGTAATGTGAACGGGGTATTAGATCGATTAGATAACTGTGCAAAATTTAATGGAAGCGGTTAAACGAATGGCACGGCAGTTCGGATTTGGCAAACCAAAAGAATAAACGAACATTTTTCCTTTAAATATATGAATTGAACTACCAAAAGAAAATAAGAAGATTTTTGTGATATGAATTTTAAATGAAAGAAACGATTTTTTGTCGACCAATTTTCGCGCGTTCCAGTCTTTATATCATCTTCAAAAACATAAACAAAAAGTTGTATGACTACAATGCGTGTACATTCAAATATGTATCAGAGTAGTACAAGCATATCATTTATCGCTATCAACATATTAATAACGTGTAATGCTCAATAAATGAAAAATTAAAAAGTTACTTAATGCAACAGATTGCTTTTTAATAGTATTCACCCCTACATAACGTACTTTTCTTATACTTAATAGAAGGATTGTAACACTTTGCCATACGACTCCGACAACAAGCACTTGACATACTTTCCTAAACAAATTCCGCATACATGGCCAATGAGAACGACTCAAAATTGAGTAAAAGTAACTCATATTTGAGTTCAGGTTACTCAAATTAGCGAAATCGTAGGTCACTCATGGAATGAGTAAATTTTCCGACGCTTTTCCGAGGAAAACTTCTCGAATATGAGCAAAACTGATTGTCGTTTTAGCACAGACAAACAGACATAACACATTGAATATTTCTCACTGTAAAACATCGTCGCTAAAACATTACCGCCATCTGTTGAGTACACTGTGGTGGGCACTACACTGAACAGATGACGGTAGTGTGTAAACGTCAAACGCAAGGGAATTGACTTTGCGCACCACAGGTGGCGGTACTACCAACTACGATACTTTTAAATTCATGACCAACAATTGAAAAGGCCTCAACTCAATTTTATAAAAAAAAACCTTGTACGGCCATTTTGTCGCGAACCGAAGGCCGCGAACGCAACCCAATATAATGAACAGGTAGGGGAAATTCTCCTCTACCCGATTTTGTTTTAGGTTTGCGAATGTAGGTTTCAGTTCGTGAAAAAATGGCCTTACAAGGTTTGTTTTCAAAATTGAGTTGAGGCCTTTGCAATTGTTGGTCTTGAATTGTCCGTTAAATGCTTGTTCGATGAAAAACATGCTAATGTTATGTCTAGGGTGGCTAGCAAACCGGGAATACCGGGAAATATCAGGGAATTTGAAAAGTAATCGGGAAAACCGGGAAAAACCTGGGAATTCGATGGAAGAACCGGGAAAAATAAATAGGACCCAATTTTTATACCAGAATTTCAGAATAAACCATTAACCATGGAATAAACCAGAGTGATCCTTTAACAAATAAATGTCTTCCTCTATTTGCTGCATAATTTTCTTCAGTTACCCGTAATGTTTTTAAAATTAAATTACTCAGCAATATTGCAAATTGATTTTTGTTGTTTCAATTTCATATGTAAAGTGCATGGTCCTTAAAAGCAAATATTGAAAATGCTGGACTTTGGAAACATTTTTTTTTTTGTAATTTAATTTTATTTTTTCGTTGTTCAAAATTCTCATGATATGAGTTCAAGAATTAACTTGGAATCCTGCTCTGAATTATCTTGAAATTGGTCTGAAATAAACCAGAAAACACTCCGCGTAATAATTACCGTTGAATTATTTTTGGGATTTCCTTGCAACCCCTTCTAAGAATTTAATTGGAATCCTTCTAAGAATTTCCTTGGGCCTATCCGGAGACTTTGGAAAAAAATTTCCAAAATTCATTTTCTTTTATTCAAAACAGCAGAAATCTTTCGAAATTTTATTTAGAAACTCTTTGGATTATTTTAAAGAATTTCTTTCGAACTATCCGCAAAAAAATTTACAATCAATTTTGTTGGAGTTCTGTGATGAATCTTTTAAATTTTACTAAAAATTCCAGGGTTTGTCCGCTAGCCTTTATAGATTGTTCTGTAATTTGTTATAACCCTTAAAATGCTTCAAAGTCTCACAATTTTGACTCCACGATTCATAATTATGTTTTTATTTTTTAATTTGTGTGATCTTGAAAAATTATCAAAATCTACCATTTAATTTTTTTCTTCAAATCTTGCATCACGAA